GTAGTCCCCGGCGGGTTCGGCTGGTCGACGGTCGGCGGCTGGCCGGCGAGTTCGGGTGACTGGGGTTCGGCGACGTCGGCTCAGATGGGGGGATGGGATCGACGTGTTCGGCGCAGGTGAGTCGGCGGGCTTCTTGCGGACGGGAGATCGAGAGGTATGTTTTGAAAACTCCGTTTCTCTTCTCTCTGTGCGTATGTGTGCGTGCGTAAGAGCTGAATGAGAGGAAGATTTCATTTTTATTTCGTGAGTGAGGCGGTGGATGAAGCGTCATGAGGTGGGACCGGCAGAGGCGATCGCGTCGTTCCGTTTGGGTATGTCGGTGGAACGGTTACAGTCAACAAAGATGTGGCATGCAACATGAACAAGAAAAATAAAAGAAAATAGTGACTACATAACAACAAATAATCAATGGATCAATGTATAAATAAAGCATGTCATAAATTCTCTGTCAAATTCTAATAGATGTATACTAGGAGATGTGAGATTCGATTGACTACCAAGAAATCATGTATGCGTATAAATAAAAAGGGCATAAGAAAGTACATTTTTCCAAATTAAAATATATCAAATCAAACCATAGAGAAGAGAAACAAATAAAAGAGAAGATCAATATACTGCAAAAAAGTCACATAGGTGTATAAATAAATGTATCACATGAAAATTCTATTTCCTAATCTAAAAACACTAAAGCAAAAAAGAGAAACCACAAATCCCTCATGTCAAAGAATTAGGAAAACATCATGATATATTGTGATTTAAAAGAATTAAACAAGAAAGATAATAAGCATATATGTTTAAATCATATTAAAAAAAATTGCACATGAATGCTCCTCAAATAAATTTTTTCGCTGTATTGATTTTTCCCTTTTTCTAATATGGTATTTGCATAATTTTCATACCTCTCTTGTATAGTTGTATCTTCTATTATGAGATCGGTAGAGATTGAAATTCAAAATAAAACATAGTTCAATTTTTTATTTAAAGCTGATACAAAATAATAAATCTGCAGCAAATATTTGAACTTATTCTTATCAATGAAGATAATTCAAATAAAGCCATGCCTATTCATAAATTCACATGTTTTGAAATTTTTGTTTGTCCTACCAAAATTGTGGCAATGTCCTAATAAATATCCCCTTAATCCAATGATGTGGTAACATATTTTGGATATCCTCTATGCTTCCTCTTTAAACCAAACTCGTCGAGCTTCCATAGGCCCAAGAGGTTTAACATTTGTAACCTTACAAAGCCCAAATAATGCTTGAATTTAACACTTGCTAGAGACCATTGAAGCACAATTGTTCCACATCTAGATATGTCCACCTATATTGAAAATAGACCATCCATTGAATTTCAAATTATATCCTTTAAGTAGATGTCTCCGCACCGTAAATGTTGTAATTATATGATATGACGCTGAGATTGACTAAAGTAGCATGATCACTTTGTCCGATCATTAATGTAATTTGCGCCCTTCTTCATTCTAAAATTTAATTTATAATTAAGAAGCTAATCTTTTTTCACTTTCCAAAATCACAATGCTCCAACATAAAGGATGTCACATGCACCTTTGCAATCTTTATAAAATTTAACATCTTTTGAAAGCTTACTTCTCGCTCACCTAAGAGCACTCAAACATATAAATTTTATAAGATTTGATGTATATCTCCCTCTTTTTAATATTTTAGTTATATCATTATGCATCTTCAACTTCATTGTATCAAAATAGACTTTCTTTCACATCTCATTACTTTGAATATAAATATTGCAATTATTATTAAGTTTGTAACCTAATTTTTTGCCTAAAGAACACACAGACTTAATCTTGATTCATTGTGGGGTTGGAAAGGGAAAGTGAACCTCCTCCTGTGGATTTTGGGAAATAGCCCTCAAAAGATATATGAAATTTGCAGGCTATTTCATTAAATTTGTTTTGTAGATTTTATTGTATTTTGGGTGTCATCGTTTTTTTTTTATATAGAGGGAAGGGGTAAGGGGGTTTATTTTTATGTTATATCCAAGGATTAGGGTTGTAATTCTCCATAATAAAACCATAGTGAAACTCATAGTGTCGATAATATGACACATCTATCAATTTTGTTAACTCATATAAATTTCTTTTTTTGTGTGTGTTGATCTTCTTTTCTATTTTCTGTTTTTTTAATAACAACAAAATTTCGTAACAAGAAAATAAAGAAAACACATGAACTACAGTTACATAGGACTAACTTCGTAAAAAAAAAAAAAAGACAAGGGATCAAGATAACATATTATAAGACATAGCAAGTACTAGCTATCTAAGAGGAGCTAAACATGTCGACATTCAGACACCAAGTCTAGAACACCAAAGTTATCTGGGGAGCTATTACTTCTTTCTTGGAATTTAGTAAATTTGGAAGTATGGAGGAAGACTCTTTTCTACTTAGTGCCTCTACAAGAAAACACTAATTGAAACTTTGTATCCACTAAATTAGATAAACTTTTGATAACATTTTAAGATCAGACTGAACTTGAATCATTAGGTACCTTCACTTTATGAAAATCAATTATAATATTTGTGTACATAGTTGTAGCTGATCCCATGTAGTGGGATAAACGCTTGATGTTGTTGTTGTTGTGTACATAGATGTAATATTACATTAATAAGAAATACTATAAGTAAAAGTTGGGTTGGGTCCTCAATAAAGTGACATGTTTCTAACGCATGTATGGATCTTGAAGTATCAGAAGTCCCAACACAAAAAAATTGAAGCTAAAGAGATGGAGGAGCAATGTCATCCTATCATCCAACCTATCACTAACAAATTAAGGTTTTAACTTAAAATATGAACCTAGAGAAATATCTAGAGCATTAGTGCCCCTTAGGGGAGGACCAAGATAGAGTAGTAGTACCCAACAAGTTAGTAAGCTTCATTTGATCATTAGTATTTCCAACTCAAAAGTTTAGCTTGTCTATATTTTGATAAAAAAACAAACCTCGACGAAAAGAATCCGAGCGGATGATTTTCCTAATTTTTCGATGGGCCTTGAGGTCATGTCTAAAATTTTTGCAAGGCTTGCTATATGAGGGAAAATATTCAAATTTAATTTTTTTCCCACTACGTGATGATATGCCAATCCATACCTCCTTAACTAAAGAGTATAAATGTCCATCTCAACAAGAATATGAGCCACAAACGGTAGAGAGAGCTTAGAGGTAGCAACATCCACTTGTATTGATTTGCCAAAAAAAAAAAGAATTAAAAAAACCTAGAGTTGTATCTATCGCCAAGAATTACTAAATAAGTATAATGAAAATATGTAGCCGACTAATCTACAGAAACACTAGTATTTATTGGCCTATCTTTCTCATGTTTGCATTGGCATGTTGCTCCTTTCTCTTTAAAGATTGATAAATATCTGGACATGCCCTTTATTTTTGCAACATAAGCAAAGCTAATTTCATGTATTTGTTATGAGACTTACTTTTGTAATATAGATGAACCTTTTCTCAAAATGTCTTTCTCTAACCAACACTCTTGATCTATTTAGAAATCATATATTTAGAAAGAAGTGAATTTTTATGGCCTTTTTAACTAATTGTGTCTCTTTTATATAACATACTATCATGACAATGCTTATAAGAGGGAGATAATAGTTTAAGAGTAACAAATTATGATCCTCATCATCAATTTGTATGGTTACAATTATGAAATAATGAAATTTAGATCATTGAAATATGATTGAATAGTTATATTTCAACCCCTACAAGGTTTTTTCTTCCAAAACCTCATCCACGAAGCATAATTGTATCATTTATTGAGTTTTTCAGCTATCTTGCCCTTCTATCCTTCATTTAGACTGTAAGGTAATCTTAAACACTTAAATAAGTACTTTCACAAGTCTCTATTGGATTATATACCTCACATCTTAGCTCTCTGAAGCTTAAAATATTCAAACTATTAAACTCCTTGGCCTTATTTTTCAAAGCAATTACATTCAACAATAAGTTTACTCTTTTATTTAGAAGTGCCTACCGCACATGAATACATTAAATGCACAAAGTATTAACAAAAAAGTCATGCACCATAAGAAGACATGAAGACTTATTTGGTTTGATTAAAGCAAATATCCTATGTCCACGGGAGAGGAGAGGCTTATGCACAAATACTCCAATTTTAGCCACAAGCCCTATGTGGTTGTTTCATCCACGACCTCCATTGAGATCGCATCTACCAAACACAAGTGGGTTGCCAAAATAACTTTTCATCCATCACCTTTTTCTACTCTTCATTTTTATTTTTTGAGATCCTATAATGTTCCGTGAGTGCTTATATAAGTATACACTAAATTATCAGATCCAATCGAAATGAGAGATAATCGGACGCACCACGAAGAAGACACAAGTTTACAAATAAGTGGGCTTAAGAAAGCACTCTTCATCAAAACTAAATTTACCTAACCTTATCAGTCATCACAAAAGATGTCTCCTCTCTAGGGTACAAATGGATTATTATTTCATATTGAGGATAGCCTGATGCTCAACGGGGGCTATTGATATGCCATAACTTTGAATTGGCATGGCTAGTAAAAAATTTTTGGCTTGATGGAATCTACGAGATGACAAGATAACTCGTTGATGAGAAGTGAGTTTTGAAGCATCCAAATCTTGAACCACCTTGTTGAAGTTTGTCTGCCAAAAAAAGATTGAATATTAAAGTTGGTAGAAAACGAATTTACATGGCGAGATAAGTTAAATTCAAGTATTGAAAGCTTAATATCATATAAAACTGTGCCTAAAGAGGCATCGGTAGGAATATCACCCAAGTGGCGGAGGATGTGATCATTAGGTGGATGAGTATGCATCAATAGTGAAAGACAAAATTATGTATATCATTAGCTAGGTAGATGCCCAGTTGACCATTAATACATTTGAAGAGTGAAAAGATGCCATCAAAAGTTACTAAAGCCCTGCCCAACAGCTACCAGAATACACTCTAGAGTACATCATAAACCAGAGCTGAAAGGCTTTGCATCCAAAGAGATAGTTGTAAATGATGTTAAAAGAGTGAAGGCTATATTTGGTTTGGTGACAAAAGCTCAAAGCATGTTGTAAGGAATTAAGGATCTTTGGGCTACCGAAAAAAAAAAACCCATCAAAGCATCTTTGCGGTACTAAAGAAAACCCACCAAAGCAAGGGTCTTGATTACTCGTGTGCAAGAATTCAATATAAACGAATCAACAAAAATAGGACAGCCAAAAATCTTGACTCCTCCGAGAGGACGAGCGATGTCGGCTAGGAATAGTCCAAAAAAGTTTGTTCTTCGAGGCATTGATAAACAAATCATATTCATTACCAATTCCCTATAAGTTTAAGGGTCTCACAGTGTTTTTGATGTGTTGTCATTGTCTAAGGAAAATGTCATGCTAGACCTTTGAGCCTATCCATGATTGGGTAGAGTACTAAGGAGTAAGCATTGGTCTGAGAGGATCTCTTGCTAGGAACCTGCTGAGGAGAGGGCGTGGTCATGCTTCAGTAAATCTTTGTTGCAGTTCCATTAGTGAACTCAACCCAGCATGTGATTGTGGGACGACAGTTGACCACTTTAAACATCACTGGAGTATCCACCATACTGAAGACATTTTTGAAACCAAAGCCACTGTAAATGTATAATTGAGTTGCTCAGGATGAACATAATGGTACACAACTTATGCAAACCATTCACAATTATGATTTTTTTTGCTATCGCTATCGGAAATTAAAAAAATTACGAATTGCACTAAATTATATTGAACGAGGCCTTGCATGCTATGGTGAGATTGTTACTTAATAAGTAACAATAGTGTTGAAAAAAAAAATATTATAATTATAATTTCTGTCCCCCTTCCCCACCTCCCTCGTCATGTCATATGCACTCCAAATTCTATCAGAGACACTTACCAAATAGGTACTTAGTTGGGATTTTTTACAAGAAATATAAGGGACAAGGGTTACATAAATTTTTGATGGATTCACTTTGATTCTTTTTTCATATAAGTTGAAATACAAACAAGTGTTTATACTATATTAAATTTTTATATCGCGATTGATATCTTTTAATAATTCAAATTTGGTTAATTTTACATTTTGATTTTCATTAATGCTTCTAGTTCTTGAGTTTGGCTGAGAATGTTGTTTCACATGCAATTGTAAGTCCTCATTCTTGTGGTGATATGTTGATTACAAGCAGGGCAATATAAGCAATGATTGTGGCGCAAGTTTGATATTTTGATTATTATAAAGGCAAGATGAAGACTATGAGTGAAGAATAGGCTCTAAGGGAAGAATATACAACTAGGAATATGAGTGAAGATAAAAGATAAAAATGAATGAAAAAGCCTTTTTGGCAATTCCATTGTGTTTGATAGATGAAGTTTTGAAGGAGAACTTAGAGGAAAGAACCATTGGGGTATTGTGGTTCAAATTGGAGTGATGGTTGATGATTAGCTTCAAGTTTTATTGCTACTGTTTTTATCTCTCCCTTGTAAGCATTTTCATGATACCTTGTTGTATGGAAGAGAGAATCATTTTAGAAGATGTTAAGAATTTACTTATTTCAAAATAAATTATTGCTAAACTTGAGGGTAGGAGCTGAAAAGCCAGTTGTAACATTATTAGTGAGGGGAAATTTATCTTTTGACAATTATACAGATATGTAGTCATATTGAACTCTATCAAAAGTCACAATGTGCTATCTTAGACGTGTGTTTATCCTTTAGCACGGGACATTGACACTCAAAATATTGAAATTGATTCGCCACTGCATAGTTTGAATCATAATAAAACAAACTTACCATGTATATATTTTTGGCAGAGGAGAAGATGGAGTTCCTATTTCAGGCTGTACTGGTGCTTTGGCTCCCATCATCACGGTAAACGCATCAGTCATGCAGTCCTTGTTCCTTCACTGCCACCGCAGGTCACAGCGCCTCCACCTGAAAGCTCAAGCCACCCACCATCCCTCGTCCACCCATTCATCGCACCCCCTTCCTCTCCTGTTTCTTTCCTGCAGTCAGGCCCCCCTTCCGCCACTCTATCACCGGCTGGTGGAATAACACTATCTGCTCTTTCTGCTGACATCTACTCTCCCGGCGGACGTCCTTCCATCTTTGCCATTGGACCCTACGCAAATGAGACTCAATTAGTCTCTCCTCCAGTTTTCTCCACGTTCACCACAGAACCATCCACTGCGCCCTTCACTCCTCCCCCTGAATCTGTGCAATTTACAACTCCCTCATCTCCTGAAGTGCCATTTGCAAAACTTTTAAATTCCTCTAGGAATAGTCGTTCTCTCTTTAATGGTCAAATCTCTGCACTCAACCCAACCATGGGCACAACATGTGGTGACCATGAAAATGAGCCTACTTTGGCTCATAGAGTGTCATTTGAACTTACTGCAGAGGAGGTTACTCGTTGTTTGGACAGAAAATCAATTTTTCCTTCTGAAGCTGCATCAGAATTTCCAGTCACTGTAACTAAAAAAATCTCAATGGGTAAAGAGCAGGACGAAGCTGATTGCAGCTATGACGACATTTCCTTTGTCGGGACCTCCAGTGCCTCCCCTGGCGTTACTCTTTTAACTGTTAAAGAATTCAAATTCAGCAATTCGGACAGCAAGGCTGGCATGGACTCAGACTGGTGGGCAAATGAAAAAAAATTTGGAACGGCAAATACTCCTAAGAATAACTGGGCGTTTTTTCCCTTGATCCAGCCTGGGATGAGCTGATCAGCACTTTTTGTCCATCAATAGGAGTGGAAAATTATTACGTCCGGTGTCCGGATTATTCCGGACACCAATCCAGACGCCCCACGTCACCCAAATACACCGGGACCCGGTGTATTTAGGTGATGTGGCGCGTCTGAATTGGATGCCCGGACACCGGACGTAATAATTCACCCAATAGGAGTTGCTTCCCTTCTACTAAAATTTTCTGGGCATGCAGCATCAGTTGGATTTTCCTTGTCCGATTCAGAGAAATGTGGACTGCTTTCACCTGATGAAGTTGATTGCCGTATTGTATATATTTTTCTAACCCAAGGAAAATTATTATTAGAAGCAACTGAATGGCCTTGTGCATTATACTGATGTGGATTTATGCTTCGCCTCCAGAATATTTTTCTCCAAAGGGAAATCTTGTATTGTTCTGCTTTCTGCTTTTTCTAGATTTATTATTGAGGGTAGTGCACTGTATGAACTTTGGAAATACATAAAAATTAAAGTCCGATATATTAAGATTTAGGTGATAAGCTCTTGTTATGAAAGATTTTTTATTACTTTATTTTCAGCTATTATTTTGTGTTGCTTTTAAGAAATTTTTATATGTTACGAAACTGCTGCTACTTTTTACAAAAGTTTTTAAATATTTTTATAGAAGTTGTAGTCATCTTAAACAGATTAAACAGATCCTTAGCGGCCAGTTTCTCCTGAAAATAAATATGCATGTAAAATGAACTGAATTGAAGGTCTAGGAATTTCTTGAAAAAACTTTATGATAAATTTTCAATAATCACGCGAAAGAAATTATACGGTGAGGGCTAACACATACGTGAGCATAATATGATGTATTGTTGTTATCATATTTCTGGGTTTATCTTGTAGTGTAATGTTCTAAATGGATTGAGCCACTCTCAAATTTTTTTTTTTAAAACCTTGTCTTGCATCTCATTTATATGTAATTTATATATAAGCATTTTATATGCATATACTTATTATAATATAATTATTGTGGATACACATATGTGAATAAGAGCATAATATATATTTTTTATGAATTTAACTAATTTTGATTCAAATGCAAATTTTATATGCATGCAAATGATATAGTGAACTGAACGTTGAATGTGATATTAAATGTTTATTATGTTATATATGTTATGAAATATGTTTATGTAAGAAATATTGGCATGAATTGATTGACTGGTTTAGGTTGGTTATAGACATGTTGTTATAACTTAAAATTTTATAAAAGATATTTTTTTATCTATAATAGTCAAAAATTATTTTAGGAGTAAAATATAACTCTAAACCATAAACTGTCTTCGTCATAACATATATATTGTTGTATTTTAGTTTTACTATTTTTTTTTTCATAATTTTTTTTTTGTACTAGTGAAATTCCTTCAAATCTTGGGGTCAATCTTACCACAATCAGACACGGTATGACCTGTACAATTTTGGGTCATATCGGGTTTTGTGACACAAGTTATCATATACAAGAGTGTAGGCCGACAAACTTTTCTTTAAAATAAGATTTATTGTATAATCCTAAATGATATAAAAAGAGAGATATAAGAAGACTAATTGATATGATATGTCGACGGGCTGAAAGAGATGAATTTTGGTGCAGTAGTGATAGTAATAAACTCTGCCTAAGTAATCTTAGGGGAACATATATGATATGTCGACAAGCTAAAAGTTCTAGTTGGTAAGTTGGTTTGTGACACAAACTCGTAGACATATCATATCCCCTACGATATAACTAAGGAAAATGCATAAACAAAATAAACATGAATCTCATATCTGTCCTCACTCCACTGGATCCTAACTCCTTCCTAAAAAATATAAAAGAGCATAGAGTGAGTTGAGAGCTTAGTAGATTACCAAAATATACAATTGAAATCAATGCAAGTTAATATGAACAATATGCATGTAATCCTTTAATCACTACCAATATAAACACATAACTATAAAAGTATGTAACAATCAATGAAATAATAATAAATCATATGATCAATAAAAATAAGTACAACTAAAGTAGTGATCAATATCAGTAACCAAGTGAACATATATAAAAAGTTAGCAAACTATATTATTTCTATACCCATTTATTAAGAACAATTATATCAATCTCAGTTCAATAAATATATATACCTATCATAATTAAATGCATATTGTATAGTATTTATGATATGCATCTATATTATGTAAATCAAATCATGTAATTCATTGATTCTATAAGTATTATAAATACTTGTCAAAACCTATATTTTGTATAAATTATATCATATCAATTTTGCAATTTATCATATACATCTCTATCATATGCATATATAAGTACTATGAAAAAGAAAAGACATCCAACTATGTGTGTTTTTCCTTTATCCAATATTGTAGGTCAATCCTACACGAATCAATCCCAATCACAAGTCATTTAGGTTAGGTGGCATTCATATTAGAATTGAAGTCTTACTTCCTACTCATCGGTGTATCATATCATATCATTCTATCTCCTTATTTCTCCCTTTTTATATTATCATTTAAAAAAAAAAGCTCATTGACCTACCCTAATGCATGGAGTAAAATGTCTCCAGCCAACCTAAATCAGTCAATAATATATGCATGGCTAGCCTTTCTTACATGCACATATTTCAAAGCATATACAATAAAATAAATATATAATAACACACTCAATGTTCAGTTCACAATGTCATCTTAATGCATATAAAATTTACATACAAACTAAAATTAGTGAAGTTTATAAGAAAATGCAATGTGTTCTTTTCGCATGTATGTATAAACAATGGTCAAATTATAACAATTATGCATGCCATATAAGTATATAAAATGGATTTAATAATCATCTCGCAAAAGTTTTAAATTTATCCAAATTAGGTTATTTGCCGAGACTATAAAAATACATGATAAAAATTTAATATATTCATATCAAAATTCTCATATTGACGACATCTATCACATGCTAAAACTTATATAGTAAAAATTTCATAAATACAAACTTATTCTTATTTTTCGTAATAAAAAACAAATTTGATTTAAAAAATTCTAAGAATATCAAATCATTGAAATAAAAAAAAAAAGAATGATGATTTCTTACAATGAGATGAACAAATCTTACAGCAGGGCTGACTGATATAAATCACTCCACGACCTTCAAATCCAAATTCTCCTTTCTCTCTCCTCACTTTCTCTCTTAATTTCACTAAGTGATCTCTATTAGCCAAAATGAATAGTGAAAGGGATTTAAAAAGGTTTTAATTATTTTGTTAGTGAGCTATGATATTTTATAATAAAATAATAATATAATATAAATATAAATATATAATTTATTCATTTTAGTATAAATTTCTTATAAAATTTTAAGTGCTTAAAAAATTATAAAAAAATATTCATAAAATAGCTCATTTTATATAAAACATTCTAGTGAAATCAGTTTGCAAACAGAAACACTTGATGATCAAAAAATCCTTAATTGCATCTCTCTGTGTCAATTTCTTAAAGATTTAAAAAAATTACAAAAAAGTTATTATAAGTAAAATATAATAATATCTATCTTATCTCAAAGATTGTTTTCAAATTTAACTTATAATGACTCCTAAAATAATTATTTGACTCGGTTAAAATTCAAACTATTACAATTTTGCCCTGATTTGTTTATGTGATTTGAGATTTATGTGTTGAAATGTCAATGATGATATTTTTAAAGGAGGGGGGAGTTGGTGATAAATACAAGTTCAGTATTTTGTTTTATCTTATTGACCTGATTAAAAGAATATAAAGATTTGAACTTTTGAGTTTTTAAATCATTTATATATATTTGAAAGCATTTTGGTGCATAAAAATGATTGTGTGGTCAAAAATGATTCTAAAGTGTTTGGTGTTAATTTCAACAAAATTTGATAAATGTTATTAATAGAGCATCTTATTACTATGTGTCCAAGTGCCTCAACGCTGCTATAGTGCTAGACACGAAATAGTGACATTTAAGTGCCTATAGTCTTGAGAGAATGAAATTTTGAATTAGCATTGTAGAATTCAACGGTAGCGCCAAAGTGCTAGGCCATTTTGAGATCTTTAAATATATTTTAAATCCATTGTTTGATTCATTATTTTTGAGCAATCATCATTGAGGAGAGAGAAAGAGAGTGGTTTAAAGAGGGGGAAAGCTCCATTTTGAATTGCTTTCGGCCATTTTTAGTTATCAAGCAAGTTACGAAAGTTATTCATATCAAGGTATGTCACATTATGCCCATCTTAGTTTTCGAAAATAGAAAAGTTTTTCATAATTTTTCGATTAAAATTATATTTATGTTAATGAAAATTGCAAATAACTTTACATCGATAAATTTTTCACTGCGTAACTTTGTATATATTATAGAGATTAAAATTATGAACATTTTGAGTATTTTTGAAAACTTTATACTAGGTATTTTAAAACTTTTGTAGTTTTATCAAATAAAAAATAATATGGACACTGAAAATTAGTGTTATTGCACAATGAATGTCTTATAATAATATTTTACACAATCATTGATAATTTTGTTATATTTTGAAACTCTAAAATTTTACTCATGAGAAATTTCAATTGCCTACCTTTATAGACAATTGTGCAGGTCTTTCACATGTTTGATTTTGCTTTAACTATTATAATATGATGAAATATGTGTACATGTTATTGAATTATAACTGTTGCAAGATAAGAGAAATCAGAATTCTTTGAGATTCTATATGTATTAAGAAATTTTTTGGTGCCTATAAAACATGTTTTGGTGACTATAAAGCCATGTTTTTTGTGGCTATAAGTTATATTATGGTGCCTATGGGCATGTTTTAATGCTTTAATCACAAAAGAGAGATATAAGGGATTAGAATCCATTGAGATTATATATAGGATCGGGATATGTGATATGCTTTGTGATATGAACTACTATAAAATATGAATTTTAGTTTATTTTGATTCAGTATTATTATTTAAATATTTGAATAATTGCTATGTTTACCTTTCCTAGTATAATGATTTATTAGACAACATTTAACTGCATTTAAATATTTTAAAAATAAATTATAGCAAAATATTTAATAAATAAATTTAAAAATTTAGATCGATTTATGTGGCCTGCTAAACTGGTTTAGCTCACTGTGAAGTTGCTTATGGTTTTCATGATTTAGGAAAAGGAATGAGCTTATTAATTAGCAGTTTGCAGTCATGGACAGATCTAAGTTTATAGGTATTCCCATATTTTAATATGTGTACAATCATGGATAATTTCTTTTCATTTATATAACTTCTATTTAATAGTTATGTACTATATTATAAATATATCTGGATGAAATGAAAGAAACATTATATATGATTTATTTATAGTTCTCTAAATATTTTTAGTAGCTATGTAGTAAAATAAAATTTAGAAGAGAATCTGAACATTCAAAAACTAGATTTTAGGATTTACTTGTCACAACTCAACACGATAAAACATATTATAGTTAGGTTGGGTTGTGATGCAAGGCTACCAAGGCTCTAGGACTAATGGGTAAGAAATAAGTTTTTATCTCCATATGGTGGAGATAACGCCTAAAATGGTGCTTATATGTCAATAGTGTTATTAAGTATGCCTAGAAAAATTAAGAACATCCTTAATATAAAAAATACAAACATCTTCTCAATGTGAGAGAAGATGTCTAAGGAGTGAAACCTTGAATAAAGATAATGGTCATTCTGACCAATCGTTGCCGGATTAAGGTCCCTCTGACCTCCGTCACCCAACTATGTTGCCTTCGACCACCTTTGCTCGACTATGGTACAACTAATTTTTGTCACCCGACCACGGTCCCTTGGACTAGCGTGACGCCATGACCCAACTATAATCCCTCGTACTAGCATAGCTTGACTACAAGCCATCCGACCATCTTCGCCCTACTATGATTCATGCAACCATCATCAATCATTTAAATTCTCATCAATAATTGTCACTCGACTACGATCACTTCAACCATTGTTGCTCGATTATAATTCTTCCGACCAATGTCTCCCGACTATGACGACCATCCGACTCCCATCGCCCGACTACTGCCCCTCTGACCACCGTCGCCTGACCACGGTCTGGCTACGGCCCCTCTGACCACCATCTTCGAACTATAGTACCTCTTCGGGGTGTAAGCGAACATAGCTGACTTGTGAGACGACTCAAGCTTAACTCATTAATGAGTTCCCAAGTTGAGCTTATCGAGTTTTAAGTATAAATTTTTATAGTATTTTATTATCTTAAATATCAATAAACAATTTATTCTTAGTTGTTATTGTATAGGAATATCATAAAAAATGAGAGAAATTTGTGAGTATTGAACAGTGTCGTAGTTCTTCACTTACCAGCATCACAACATCCATAAATCCCTTGCACTAAAAAATGTCAATTAATTCAATGCCCTAATAGAGCCAAGCTTAGTGTTGCTGCGCTAGAATTAAGTATTGCAGCGCGGGAGTCTCAAGAATTTGAGCCCCGAAGCGACAAACTTTACAACGAAATAACACCATATTAAACATTCAAGCCCCGCAACTCTCAACTTTTTCAAAAATGCAGCGCAGTAGTTGCCAAAATGAGGAGTCCCGCCGACTCAACCAAAGGATGCACCGTTAGCCAATCGACGCTTTGGATCAATCCAGCATAGCAGCGGAGCCCACGTAGCAGTGCCAAGGCGCTAGTTCATTTTATAATATCGTGATACCACCATGTCAAGCGCCACGGTGCTTGAGTTCATTTTTCTACAAGTATAACTATTTTTTCAGTTCATTTGAGATATAATTCTGCAAGTTCTATTGGGGTATATCATTTTTAGTTTGTATTGAATGATTAAGTGTTGTGCCCCCTTAGAGTTAAGTCTAAGGGAGGCTAAAAGAGAAAAAAAGATACGCCATTTCAAAGATCGTTAGCTGATCTATTTGTAAGCAATTGTATATTTAGAGGATAAATGAGTGTGGAGAGTGTATTGTACAACCTGGGTGATATCCGATTTTTCTTATATGCAACCAATAAATTCTGGTTGATTTTCGTGTATTTTGCGACTAATTTTTTAGTTTTGGGCTGATGATGTGAATATTTTACAAATACTAATATAGATTCTTTTGCTTTGAATGAACAATGAATGTTTTTAATATCTCATGTTCTTAATTTAATGCATATAATAGTCATGTATGTAGTTAAAATTCAATGTGATATAATGCCTCGACATATAATATTGGAACAATTAGGAGTGTTGGAATGAAATTCTTGCATGCCTAGACATGGGATGTTCAGAATTTTAGGTTATATGGAGATACAATTATTGTAGGAAGATCATAAACTTCACTTACATTCCTACAAACTTAACAAAGATCTATAGATGTATATGCTCTAATCCAAATCAAACATATACGAGTCAACTTGAAAAAAACTTAGATAATTCACAATCATTAGTCTAAAATATTTATTCATTTGGTATTTTATCTTTTCTTATGCATTCCCCAGTAGAGACAGAATCTCAACCCTTAAACTTTGTTCAACAAGATAAACATTGTAGTTATAATAGACATTACTAGCTCATTTACATGTTATTAGAATACTTCCCCAAGGGATCAACACACTCTCGATTACTTTATTACTTAATCGACAAGTGCACTTGTGTATTTAGTGGGTAATACATATCAAATAAAATCTAAGCATGTTTCAACCCATATCATAAACATAATCCACGCAAACACCCCATCATCAAGCAACGAGTTCGAGCTCGAGTATATACTCGAGTTCATATATTAAATGAGCTCAAGCTCAAGCTCAAGCTCAGTTTTCCTCAGCTCGTAAGCTCATTGAGTTGAATGATTAACTTAAACTATATTTAAATTTTAATTTAAATCAAAATTATATAATATATTTTTAACATTTTTAAATTAAAATTTATATTAAAAATAATTTAAAACTAATAATTAATTAAGCTAATCGAGTCAAACTCGAGATTTCCAAATGAGCTCAAGCTTTTAAATTTTTTTAAAGAGCCAAGCTTGAACTTAGTAAGAACCATACAAGCTTAGCTTAATTAGGTAGATACATGAATAGACTTGATGAGGCTATTTTAAAAGAAAAATAAAGATAAAATCATTGGAAGGTGGTCACATTTACATATTGGGCATATGAGGGAAGCTTATCTTTTAATTATTGGCGGGATAGATAAATTATTTTCCTTATTTGAGGTTGCGGGATTAATGTGCTAGCGGAACGATTGACCTCCATCTTATAAACTCGGGCTATCTACGTTTATTTCGAGATGATCAGATCCGTTAATCTGCTTTGAGAGTCGAGATATGTATGTCTAGGCATTACAAATTGCACATATCTCAAATCAAATCAGAAGTTTCTGGCCTTTAATTTAAATTTTCCATATTTGTCAATTTTACAGGATTTTTGCCCTCGAGCAGTCAAGAGATTAGGATGCCATTGTGAATGAACAGTTCGGACGTGGAAATGGGAGAGATAGCCGCCATATGTTCAAGGAAACCTAAAACCTAAGAAGCCCCAAGTGAAAAATCTCCGTTTCTCTGTGGATTCGAATGCTGTGAATTTGTCCTCTCTTTTCTCTCTCCCCCCGCTCCATGGATTCGACCGATTTGGGCTATTCCCCTCCTCATGATGGCGGCTCGAAGCCTTCGTTTCATCCTGATTCACCCTCAGCTGGTGAGCTTCCTTTTTTTTACCCGTTAGCGATCCTCCCTACCTTTCTAGTTTTTGTTTATGTTCTTCTAGTAGATCGAAGCGGAGGTTAGTTATAATTATTGGAAAGATCGAGTATTTAGTGGTGCATTTGAGATTTGAGGCGACCTCGTGATGGTGTTGAGCTACAGGGAACTCACTTGGAAGATACAAATATTCATATCTCAATAGTGGAAGCTTAAAATGGCGACTTTGTCATACCGGGTGTTGGGCTCCTAGTTTGTACTGTGCTTATGGTGCGCAGAAGGGCTGATTCAGCCATCCTCTTTTGCCGTGGACCCAGATTTGTTCGAAGAAAGAATTTATCATTGTGAATTTCATGCTGATAGTTTTCTTTGAATAGCCAATCAAATTGCGTGCCTTGCACTCTTTGCAATTTTTATGCTAGGGAGAAGTGCAATGCTGTATAATTCAGTGTCAAATTGCCAAGAAATTTCACGGGTCTGTTGATGCTGGGAGAAGAAACTGTTAATTATTATTGTTTTTGTGGGAGGCGCTCAGATCTTGTTAGCAGGAAATATCTTTCCTGTCAAACTACTTGTTAGATTCAAAGCCAGTCTCTAGGAGGGGTGAGTCAATTTAAGCATATACTGTAGTTTGAACCCCATACAAATTGAAGGAGTGCTAAAAATATTGTTGAAGCTTTTATTTTCATATTGAGCTTGAGATTTTCATCAAGCTTGTGCAAATTTAGGCGAGAGAATTTCTCGCCAAGAAATGAACTTATCATCTAAGATTTAAGATTAACTTTCACTTATTTTTCACAAAACTTGTAGCACGTAAACAATTCATTTGAATCAATCTCTTTTAGATCCTATAGTTGGAGCCTTTGTGCATTGGGTGTGCTCGTCAGTTTTTTTACAAGGATTCAGACATTAGACCTTTGCTTTAGATATCAAAGATTATTCTGTTAAACAATTTATGTGAATCAATCTCTCTTAGATCCTATTGTTGGAGATTTGTGCTTTGGGTGTCCTCGCCTTTATTTGTTTTTGCCAGGATTCAGACTTTAGACCTCTAATTTTGAAATCAAATATAATACTGTTGAATCAAGTGTTTGGTGCACCTGTTTTTTGTTGTAAAAGACTAAAGTTGTATGTGTAAATATAAAACAGTTTTAAATAATGATTTCTCTACCCAAAGATGATTTAATTATACATATATGAACTTGCTTCACCTAAACTTGGAGAAAATTAAGTATTTTGGTAGTATTTATACTAGCCATTAAAAATATGACATTGATCTCTTTAACAATTAACCTTCACGAATCATTTTTTATTGACTGCTTGCTAAATGCCAAATTTACTTTTTCATGAACATAACAAATCAATAAAAACTAATGATTGGGCTTGCCTTTTTATGTGTTAAATTTCAGAAATTGTGATATTTGGAATGTGTAATTGGTTTGTTCAATGAAATTAATAAGTGAGCTTAGACAAGCATTAGTGAATTTAGCAATAAGCTGATTGTCCAATGCTGGATTTCAATTACTCCATATTCTCTTTTGGTATGCTTGATATAAGAGTCACCTCAGAACATAGGAATAATGTTGTTATGTATTTTGCATGGTTAAGTTTTGTTGACTATAAAAATATATAGAACAAAGAAATTTGGAACATACATGCCTTTGAGTGGGTCCCACCTCACGTTGTTGGCATCCAAACAAAGCAACCCTTCGTTCAAATCAAAACAACTGCATGCTCATTTCTTTAAAACGGCTGGCAAGAGCGATGGGGAAGAGAACTCTCACACTCCTCCTTCGATTATCTCTCTGTATCACATGCAGATAGAGAAATCGAAGCCCCCTCCGCCTCCGCCTCCTTCCGCTTATTCGCCCAAATCCACGAAACCAAGCCCTGCTTCCGCTCACATCCGACCCACGCGACCAACCTTGACGTTGCCGTTCGACTTCGTTGCTTCGTAGGAGAAGTCTAGGGTTCGCCCTTCATCTTCTCTTTTCGTCGTTACTATTCGGCTCCTTTGCTTCGCGTGCGGAGATTGCACGCGCCGCTTCTTCCACTCCCTGTGGCTGTTCGACTTCGCTCTTCTCTGGAGGTGCATAGATTGCGTGAGTCGCTTCCTCGGCTCCTTTGTCCCTGCCCGACTTCATTTCTTCGCATAAGTATAGAGATTGCTCGGGTCGCTCCTTACGCTCCTTCATTGCTATTCGACTTCTTTGCTTTGCAGGAGTATAGAAATTGGACGAGCAACTCTTTGGCTCTCTATTATTAGAAGAGTCATTTCATCTACTCTCTTGCGACTATTCGGCTAAACTCCTTCCGTGACTAACCTAGCCGAATTGGTTCCTGCCCGAGCCGACTCCTATATATATATATATATATATATATATATATATATAT